CCTGTACGATATTATAAGTTTGTTTGAAACATTTCAATATAAAGCAACAATTTTATTTTCGAAATAAACTGTTGAAAACTAAACAGCTAAATCTCAATTGTTTATATAACTTGATTATTTACACGTATCAGGAGGAAGTCTTGCAACTCGCCTTAAGGCACTTACGCCTAGTTTATTTATATTTCGTCTTTCTCTTACAATTTTAAACCATTTGCTCAACAAAGAAAAAAAATAATTACAAAAATAAAAAAAAATAATTTTAAAAAGGAAAAAATTAATTGGCCATAATTTGAAGCTAACTGAAGCTAACTAGACAAAAATGTAGAAAAACTACAATAGTGAAATTGGTGTGAGAATGCCTTTAGCTCCTGAAATCGAAATCAAGATCATTTGATTTGTTAGTAAAGATTTCCGTGAATATATGTTATATTCTAGAATTGCATACATAATATACTTCTTAAGTGTTTTTACAATTTATTTATTAATTAAAAATGGGTGAAGGTTTTCAACCCCGAAGACGTGGTGAAGAGTAGCGAAACGAGAGAAGAGAATCAAATCGAGACTGCAGAAATTTCGAGCAAATTCAAATTCTTTGAGACTTATCAACCTAAAAGTGTTGAGAGAAAGCCATTTAGAATCACGCCTCCCAGAGAGGGCGTTGTTAAGGTTGTGGTGTTATGACATTGTGTGGAGCTATTAACATTTGGCTTGTTTGATTTGAAAATCTGTGTTGTTTTCAGGATTGTGTGTTTCTGATTAGAAATAATTTACTACAGCAACCAAATTGCTCTTTGTAATATTTTGATTTGGATTTTTTGTATCTTTCAGAAAATGAGGATTCATATTTGAGATATTTCTATTTTTATTACAATGATTAAGAGTTATTTCAGGATATTGATATAAATAACCAAATGTCATTTTAATGCATTTAAAACATTTAAAATCAACTTATTTTAAATACATATATGGTCATTGAAAGTAATGAAATAATTTACTTTTATTATTTTACTTTTTATCGTGTAATTTTCAATTACATACAAGACCATATTTCATTTCAGTTGTGATAATTTAGATAAAAATAATTTTCTTTATGTTTAAAAATGGTTTTAGGACTCTGATATCAGTATAAATTAGATTCATTCAATGTTTCTTAAATTAATATTTAATAAAGCATCGGCTCGTCATATAAACAGTTAAAAATCATCTTTGAATTTTAAGTATAATTTAGAAATCAGAATCATTGAAAGTAGTGAAATAATTTGTTTTGAAACTTTTACAATTTTTTATGTAGTTGTTAATATATTATGTTAAATTGCATAATTAATTTGCTTAAAATATTTATTCCAAACAATTGGAAAGCACGAATATTTTGTGTTTATTTATATACTAATAGTTACTAATTTTGAAATAATGTATACTTATAATTGTATGAAATTTATGTGCAAAGTGCTTACATAATTTAAATAAAAATTGGGAAAAAAAACTGACCTCCAAGAATAATGTGTTACCACAGCCATTTTTCTTTCCTTAAAATTATTCCATGTGTTAAGATGGTAATGAAAGAATAAAAAACCAGTTGTTTTATACAAATATTAAATTTGATTGTATGATGATAACATTAACAATATTTTTTGCATGTTTCTAAATATTTAAATGTAAATTAAAATTTACTAAATTGCTATATATGTCATATGCATCAAGCTAATCTGTTTAATTCTTCAACAGACCGAATCACCAGAACGAGAAGTCTACAGGGATCCATCCATTGTCACTTCTGACAACAAGAGTAATGATGAAAATGGTGATGATCCAGAAATTGCCGAAAAGAGCCACACCGCTACTAAAATGTTGAATATCTTCAGACAGATGGAAGAACGAAAGGAAACACAGCCACAAGGTATATACCAAAGAATTTGTAACTCCATCCCGATTATTTGTTTTAAAAATACTAACCCACAATGCAGTCATGCAGAACTTTAATTCAATATAAATATCGATTTAGTTAATTAATGAATTTAATTTTTCTAAAGGTCCTAAACCCTTGAAGAGGTTTACACCTCCTCCAGAGGAGACCCCAAGGAGGTTCCTGGATACCAATGACCAGAGTGACAACTCTGGTGTTACTGACAGTGATACTGATGATGAAGTTCAAAATGAAAATGAACCTCAGAATGGTCACCATCAGAATGGTGTCGGTAGGGATGGTGTTGATTATGTTAAAGCGAGTGACAAGTGTGAGGATGAATTTTTGAAACAGGTAAGTGCTGGAATTAATGGATTAGTATTGTCTGAAAAAAAACTAGCTATAAGAAAAGTAATGAAACATTTGGAAATTAAAATAATATTTATTAAATCTAATATTGGAGTCATAAAAAATTTCTTTGTTTTTCTATATACTCGGTTAGAATTAAATAGCCAAACAATTTTTGTTGTGTTTAGCCAATATAAAAAAATAGTTCAAAATATTACATTTATTGAATATTAATTCATTATCAATTATTGGTTAAGAAGGTGTAGATATATATTAAATGTTTTTATTAACTTGTTCCAAATATAACACATGCTAGAAATAAGTATAAATGAAAAGTATATTTAACTTAATTATTTTATTTTAGTAACAAAAATAATTAATTTAATCTAATGTCACATCCATTCCACATTTACATTGTGTTTTATAATTAAAGGCAAGAAATGAAGCAAGAGCCAAACAACTCAGAGCCAAATTTGAGAAATGGGAAAGCAATGAAATCAAAAGGGAACAAAGTACGATAAATGTTCTTGAAGAGTGCCAAACTGAAAATAATGACTCACAATTAGAAAGTGCCAAAAGGTATAAATATATTTAATATTTGTATATTATGTAATTCATAACATCATGATAATGCATTAAGTATAAAAAAACTTAATTTATTTCATGTTAAATCAATATCATAATAAAGACAAATTAGCAAGCAAATTAGAATGACATGAAATATTTAAATTTATTATTTTATATGAAGTAACAACTAGCAACAATTTTTTTTTACTGAAATATTGAAATCAATATTCAGTCTTCGCACTAATGATATAATACTATTTTTTAATTCATAATTTGATTTTTGTTGCTTCCTACAGCTTTTTATGATAACTGCCTAGATAGCACAACACAATCCAATGATTATATATATGTAATTTATCTATATTACAAATTATTCTTCATGTATCGTTCGTTGGCATGTCTTAGCCAACTTTTAATTGCTTCTACAACAGCATATTTTGTTTCATTTGGAAAGTTTTTGAAAACTGTCTGTAATAAATAAAAGATTAATTAGATCTTATAATTAATTAAAAATTAATAGCAAAAAAAAATTATAAAATACCAGTGATGATTTAATTGATATGTATAATCTTTTTGATAAACTTATAATAAATATAGCAGGTTATTTGAATTTTTGGAATGTTTTTGGCATTTTTTCAGTATAACATGGTAGTTTTTTCCTTTGAATTATTTTTATTGAATTGAAGAGGATGTACACATTATAGGAGTGTTGTCTGTAATAATAAAAGATTTCAACTAATTTTTTTTTATTATTTTCAGTCTGCGGGATAGATTTGAATCAATGCGCGAGATGACGAATCAAATGAACAAGTCACCACGTGTAAAAGTGAATCGATTTGTGGTAAGTTATTTAAAATATTTTTTTCTAAATTTAAACAAATACATACAAATAACGCGCGATTGTGTAAATAGTCTTGTTATCCATTTACAAATTCTGTGATTGCGATCTGAACTTTTGTGCAAGGTTTTTTTTGCCAGTTCGGCCGAACTTTGATATTTGATTAATGCTTTGATTAATTTCTCATAATCTTGATGTGTTTAGATGTGCATGAGTTTGAAACGTCTTTTCTTTGCTAATGATTAAAAACATTTACTAAATCATAATTCCATCACCATAAAAATATACAGTTTTTGATTTTTTAGAATATAATATAGGAGATTCTCATTGTAAAAATGATTTTCATTTCGTTTTATTGAAATTGTGAGCAATAGAAATTAAATTTTGTTTGTATACACATAATAGTAATTATATATTACCACATATGTGAATATGTAGATTACAAATTTCTAAATTTATTTCCACCAGTTCGTATATTCTGGATTTTCTAAACTGTCTTTATTATATTTGTATAATTTCCATAAAATAAGATTCTTTATTTCTTACTTTTCAACGTTAGGCTTGAAATTATTGAAATGGAATTTCAAAAGTTTGTACAATTAATAATGTGAACAATATTAATCTTATAATACCTTCACTTCAAATCTATGCAAATTTTTTATAAGTATTGTTATAAAAGTCTGATCAGTTTTTGTCAATTATTAGTTGACATATGCAATTATGCATTATATTTCAGCACATTAATTTATCCATTATTTTCAAATTAGTATAACAGTATAACAACTTGTAGCTTAGGCCACGGTAATATTAATGAATTTGCTGTACAGAATTTCTGTCAGTTGTCGTTAGATAAAATTTGCTGAGAAGATATCGAATATTAATTACAATTGGCTGATGATAAAATAAAACATATATTTATTAGTGACCAATTTATTCTCATTGGCTAGTCTTCAGAATTGAAGTTTATGAAAAACTTCCACTATATATAAGCAATACATTTTTGGGATTAACGAACAACTATAATTTAAGTTTAGTTAATATGATTTTTAGATAGTTTTATATCACATCACTTCATCTTAGATGTAGAGACGTGTGATACTGTGTATGAGCATGATAACACCGGCAGTACTAATAAAAAAACAAGTTTTTGTGAATGTGTTTGTCAAATTTTAGATGTTAAAAATAAATAAGTATATGCAAATGTGCACATAGGATACATGTAACACATAAATAGTGAATTTGATGTTGCTGTTTGATACTGATGCACGAAATTGACGTTTAAAATTAAACTAAATCATAGTCAAATTAATATGTCCACAAGCGTCCAAATTTCATTCATGAAAACTATATACACAAGATTAGAAATAAGATGCATGGTGTTAAAATGAATTTCTGAAGTGTGTATGTTTGTAAATACAAAATAACAACTAGAGCAATCTTTTTAGAAGTTATTACTGGATTGTTTGGAAAGTAAGTTTTTTATGTCCTACGAGGACCAAGTGATTATAAATAATCAAATTTGATAAATTTTACCTCGCCCTTATTATGTGTCGTTATTTGCCACTTATACTATTTGATTGAAGTTGCCATAACGTTCTTTTGTCTATGGCAGTAGAATTTTTTGATACCGAATACTGGGATACCATACAAATTTTTGGCGGTATTAATACCGAATTTTAATTCACCTTAAAATTTTTGATCATTATCACTAGTTGATTCAGGAAATCTTCCATTTACTCATAATTAAATTTCGCCTTTATGACTCATCGACTCAAAATAAGAAATAGCTTAGACAACAACATGTTTGTTAAAATCTTACTTCAATTTCCATAAATAATAATTATTACTTGAACGAATTATTGCAATACGTATTAGAAAATAGAATTGAATTTTCTTAAATTATTAAAATTAAATATTGCATTTTTTATAGTGAAATTAAATTTTGCTTGATTTTTTTAAAAACAGTAGTAATACCGCTTTAAAAGCAAACACATCAAAATACAGGTATCAAATTTATTTAGCGGTATATGTTGCATTTTCTAAATCGCAACAACAGAGGGCTGTGTGTACTTTGCGCCGTAAATATTGCTCTGAAATATAGTCTGGTTAGAGTTAGTCTACCTGTTTTCGATTCTTAAGCATACTTACCTGGCGTCGGGGTTACCGTGATCAACAAGGCGGTTCCCCCAGGGCGAGGTCTGGCCATTGCACCTGGGTCGGATTGACCCCTGCGATTGTCTCTAATGTGGATAACTCGGGCGTGTAATTTTTGGTAGTCGGGACTGCGTACGCGCTGTCCCGGTAATAAAATTTAATATATTAAAATATTTCAAATTCTGATGATTACATTAATATTAAATTAAATAGTTGAATACAATTTTCTAAAGTTTTTGTTCACATTGGAAAACTCGAAGTGGGTGTAACCATATCCAGAGACCTAAACAAGCGCCAAAGATGCCTTATTAAATTTATTGCACTAATATAACTTTTAGTATTAAAATTAAAATCTTATTTTCGACATACAATTTTTTTTCTTCAAAAGCAATTGCTTTGTCAACACAAGCGGAAGGTTTTTTGACTCATTTGAATCGGATACTTAATTCTCTCAAAAACTGCTATTTTTTGTACATGTAGCTCTGTATCATTGAAATGGCTGGACCTGACTTTGCCAAAAACTGATCACCAGTTCTCCCAATCATTACAAATTGAATAAATTTTGTATAATTCAGAACAGTTTTGGATCATTCAATTCGGATACTCCGTTCTCTCAAAACCTCGATTTCTATTTTCTGCACTCTTTGCTCCGTATCTCCGTAACGGCTGGACCTTCTTTAGCCAAATACTAATCAGCACATCTACCTATTAATAGGAACAATTAATTATTTAATTACGGCCCATTACTATAACCTACCCTGCTGGAAGTTAATAAGATCTAGCTTAGACAACGAAATGTTTCTTAAAATTCTATTTCAATTTCCATAAAAACTAATAATTACTTGTACAAATTAATGCAATATATATTAGAAAATAGAATTTAATTTTCTTACGTTCTCAAAATTAAATATTGCAATTTTTATAGTATATTTTAATTTTGTTTGATTGTTTAAAAATAGTCGTAATACCGGTTTTAAAAGCAAAAACATCCAATCCAAATACAGGTATCAAATTTGCATTTCCTGCAACATGTTGCATTTCCTAAATCACGACAACAGAGGGCTATGTGTACTTTTCGCTGTAAATATTGCTCTAAAATATAGTCTGGTTAGAGTTAGTCCACCTGTTTTCGATACCTAAGCATACCTAGGTTACTTAGGCGCAGTTCGTATCGGGGCCTGGAAACAACTATCTTGGTGCAAGGCGCGAAGCTTGTGATACAGTTACTTGTTATTAGTGTAAAAAAATTATCAAATGTATGTGGTGTAGAGTGCGTGTAATAGTGTAATAATGGAATCTTCTAATAATGGAAAGCCGTCGACGACACAGCGTACAATGGAGACCGTAGCATTTCCGCCACGAAATCGACTTACCGTTCAGGAAGTGTTTGATTCGCGTACTGACAAGCCGAGGCCCGATGTACTCAAAGAACACTTTATAAGGGAAGGTCGGATCGATGAAACTGTAGCACTCCGTATTATACAAGATGGCGCGGCCTTATTACGGTCAGAGAAAACGATGATTGATATCGAAGCACCGGTTACCGTTTGCGGAGATATTCACGGGCAATTCTACGATCTTATGAAGCTGTTCGAGGTAGGCGGTTCGCCGGCCAGCACGAAGTACTTGTTTTTAGGCGACTACGTCGACAGGGGATATTTTAGCATAGAATGCGTTTTATATTTATGGGCGTTGAAATTGTGCCATCCGACAACTTTATACCTATTACGAGGCAATCACGAGTGTCGACACTTAACTGAATATTTTACCTTTAAACAAGAATGCAAAATCAAATACTCTGAACGTGTTTACGATGCGTGTATGGATGCGTTCGATTGTCTACCGTTAGCGGCTTTAATGAACCAGCAATTTTTATGCGTGCATGGCGGTCTGTCGCCCGAAATTCATAATTTAGAAGATATTAGGCGACTGGATCGATTCAAAGAGCCTCCTGCCTACGGGCCAATGTGCGATCTGCTGTGGTCCGATCCACTGGAGGATTTTGGTAATGAACGCAATACGGATCACTTTTTGCATAACTCGGTTCGTGGATGTTCATATTTTTACAGTTACGCCGCTTGTTGCGACTTTCTACACAACAACAATTTGTTATCGATTATTAGAGCGCACGAAGCACAGGACGCTGGCTACCGAATGTATCGTAAAAGTCAAACGACAGGATTTCCTTCGCTGATAACGATCTTTTCGGCACCGAATTACCTAGATGTTTATAACAATAAGGCCGCTGTTTTGAAATATGAAAATAACGTTATGAACATCAGACAGTTCAATTGTTCTCCTCATCCGTATTGGCTGCCGAATTTCATGGACGTGTTCACGTGGTCGTTGCCATTTGTGGGCGAAAAGGTAACGCAAATGTTAGTAAACGTTCTGAGCATATGCTCGGATGACGAATTAATGCCAGACGGAGATGATGCGCTCGAAGCGAACGTCCGCAAGGAGGCGATACGTAATAAAATTCGAGCGATTGGCAAAATGGCAAAGGTATTCTCAGTGTTACGTGAGGAGAGCGAATCGGTGCTTCAGCTGAAGGGGTTGACCCCGACCGGAGCGCTGCCGCTAGGGGCGTTGTGGGGCGGCAAGACATCGCTGCGGAACGCTCTGCAAGGTTTCTCGCCGAATCACAAAATAACCACGTTTGCGGAAGCGAAAGGCCTGGACGCCATCAACGAGTGCATGCCGCCAAGAAAAGACACCCTCAGCCCGTCCGCCTAGAATCCCAATCAGAACAGTATCGGTGCGACGTCACCAGGTCCTGGTCCTAGCAAGTCGGGTACCGGCGGTGGCGCGACTCGAACGACGTCCTAGTGTGTTCGCAGTATGTGAAACGTCGCCTTGAAAACCGAATGACTCTTCTTTAATGGGGCGGTGTTTTTATCGAATAAATTGAATAATAAATAATATATACATATAAATATAAACTTAATGATGTGCCATTTTTATTGCAAAAGATCTTTCCATTTGCACCATTTATAAGTATTTGTGTGTCAGTTTAAATTTACCAATTATATCAAAAAATTCTATTTTATGTATATATATATATATATATATATATATATATATACATACGTATAATTAATATATTTAAAATATATAATCTAACTCTCTAATTCTCTATAAGAATTATATTATTCATATTTAAATATATTTAACTAATTAAAATGAATATTATACCTTTGCTACAAGTACTTATGATTGAATCATGCTATTGTGCAAAAAAACTATCATTGTGAATTTTAAATCTCGATTATACGGACATTTCATCTAGTGCACATGTGTCTTGGCATTTTAAAATGTTTAACTGAATATATGCTATGACTGAGTAAATGTAAGTGCATGAATAGTAAAAATGTCCTTTTGTTTGTTGATATTAAGATATTTAAAAAAAAATTAAACTACCTTTTCATATGTACAATATAACTATTTGCTATTTAAATGAATTATAAATTTAGGTAATAATGTTTTTTGGTTGCGAGAACTTTATATACTTCAATTATATAAACTGAAGGCTTTATATGAAATAAATTTGTCTTTTGGCAACTGTAAAATGAAGGGTGTACATTAAAAGCACGCTACACAATCGTATCTTATTTATATCACGTTGATCAAATCAATGAATATCAGGTGAAGTGATTATTTATCCTATGTTGAATAATGTATTTTATTATTAGATCTAGATTGTTAAGACTGCGTACGCGCTGTCCCGGTAATAAACCTAATCAACATATTAAAATAATTCAAATTCTGATGATTACATTAATATTAAATTAAATTAAATGGCTGAATACAATTTTCCAAAGTTTTTGCCCACATTGGAAAACTCGAAAGTGGTGTAACCAATAAAGCCTTACCCAGAGACCTAAATAAACACCAATGATTTCTTACTAAAAATATTGCACTAATATAATTTTAACTAGAATTAAAATTAAAATTTTATTTTCGATATACAATTTTTGTTTCAAAAACAATTGTTTTGTCAACACAAGCAGAAAGTGTTTTGAATCATTTGAATCGGATGCTTAATTCTCTCAAAATCTGCTATTTTTTGTACGTGTAGCTCTGAATCATTGAAATGGCTGGACCTGCCTTTGCCAAAAACTAATCACCAGTTCTCCCAATCATTACAAATTGAATAATTCTTGTATAATTCAGAACAGTTTTGGATCATTCAATTCGGATACTCCGTTCTCTCAAAACCTCGATTTCTATTTTCTGCACTCTTTGGTCCGTATCTCCGTAACGGCTGGACCTGCTTTAGCCAAATACTAATCAGCACATCTACCTATTAATAGGACCAATTAATTATTTAATTAATTTTTCTTTTAATTATCATTTTTAGAACCTTTATTTAATTATTTTTAAAATTTTTCGAATCGGTTTCGAACCTCTGAAGATATGCGAACGTAAGATATAAAAGTATTTTCATTTTCGATTTTCTGCCCATTACTATGACCCTACCCTGCGGGTAGGTTAATAAGATCTGCTTAGACAACGAAATGTTTCTTAAAATTCTATTTCAATTACCATAAAAACTAATAATTACTTGTACAAATTAATGCAATATATATTAGAATATAGAATTTAATTTTCTTACGTTCTCAAAATTAAATATTGCATTTTTATAGTAAATTTTAATTTTGCTTGATTTTCTAAAAATTGTAATACTGTTTTTAAAAGCAAAGGCACCAAAATACAGTTATCATTTTTTCTAACGGTGAATGTTGCATTTCTTAAATCACGACAACAGAGGGCTATATGTACTTTGCGCTGTAAATAATGCTCTAAAATATAGTCTGGTTAGAGTTAGTCTACCTGTTTTCGATCCCTAAGCATACTTACCTGGCGTCGGGGTTACCGTGATCAACAAGGCGGTTCCCCCAGGGCGAGGTCTGGCCATTGCACCTGGGTCGGATTGACCCCTGCGATTGTCCCTAATGTGGATAACTCGGGCGTGTAATTTTTGGTAGTCGGGACTGCGTACGCGCTGTCCCGGTAATAAAATTTAATATATTAAAATAATTCAAATTCAAATTCAAACAGACTGACTTACCGACCATACTAGACTTTATAAAAAGCTCACTGAAAATTTTTATCTAAAATGTGGGGATCATCCTAATATTAACATCGCGGGCCTCGGCCAATACACAAGAGACGATATTTGGTATGGCAATCAAGCCATGCCAAAATATATACTGATCGACCCATAGCGGTAAATGAAACTTGGCTCGACACAAATATTCTCCCTTAAAGTGAATAAATCTTTTGTTTTTTTCCTTTTTGTGTTAATATGTGTTATTATAAATAGTGCTAAGTGATTTTTTTTGGGGAATCAATTTTCTTTCCTTTTTTTTGTCACAGAATTATGTCACAACTTGTATATCTGAAATACTTATTATTGTATTGATAGAACAAATATGAAGGATGATATACCTACGGGTAAAAATCCGAAATGAGAAATATTATGTACACATATATATTCAATGAAACATATTTATTTATTATTAAAAAAAATACAAATTCTGATGAGAACATTAATTAATATTAAATGTTTGAATACAATTTTCAAAAGTTTTTGCTCACATTGAAAAACTCGTAGTGGGTGTAACCAATAACGCCTTACCCAGATACCTAAATAAACGCCAAAAATTTCTTACTATTATTTTCCTGGAGCTCTACTTAGCCTCTATCAATGAAATTCAACTTTTCTCTGGCAAATACATATTTTTCATACTGTACAAATATTTTCTCAATTTTTTCTTGTTTTATATAAAAAAAGCTAAAATGTTGCTAATCCTGTCTATATTTAATGAAAAATACCACCTACCTAATGGACTTTTACACAAGTTTTGCTATTATATTAATTTGGAGCTATTACAGTTCTCAAAAATATAATGATCACGCATATAATGATTAAGTGTGTAGTTGAGTCTCCTGTCGAGAAGAAATACTTACTTTTCGTACAAACTAAAGGTTTTTAAGAACTAATGCGTTGATTAATTTTGTTTTAGAAATAATCAGTAAAAAATCTTAAATCGAAGACAAGCTAGTTATGCTAAAGTTTTGGTACCCAGATATGACATATGATACAGCCAAGTAAAAATAATCTCAGTAAGTATGCATCCCATCTTGATCAACTCCAAACAATAATTTGAAAAATCTGCGATTTTGTCTTTAGAAACAAAATCTGGAAATATATTTGTTTTCAAATGACTCAGATTTCTTCAGAACTTTATTTTGGATAAAAAGATTGTATGCCATGAGTTTACGATATTTTGGCTGTATAGTTTCTGGGTATTATAAGTTAACTATTCATGTTTATGATCGTATGGATGAATAATATATAAAATATATTTTAGTTTGTTATAACTTCAGATTTTTTTTTGTTAAATTTGTAGTTTTGCATTTTTTTGGAGAACGCACTACATACATTCATAAACAACGCATTATTATATTATTCTTAATATTATTGAGCCTTTAAGCAAAAAGAATATGGTCAAAACAAAGTTTATATTTCGCTTGACATTTTATATATAGATCAGACGATTTCTTGGTATTTATATTTAAACTTAAAAACGCAGAACATGGTTTCATTAAATCAGAATAGTGGCAACAAATATGTCTCTGCCATGAATTGATCTGAAAATCAATTGGCACAAATTGGTCTACAGCTGAGTTTTCATTTAACACCAAAACATCAACCTACATAAATCTGGATTAGAAACTTTGGATATAACGAAGACTGGTAAAAAGATTTGTAGAGGCAAAGAAAGAAATGAACCATATAGTAGATTAAATGAGGGATGTTCAGAACTTTAGAAAATCTTTACTGGGCACGATTTGGAAAAACCAAATAGGAAAAAACTAGTTGTCGGCCTAGTGTATCTATTTCTATTAGACAATAATTTGTACAAGATTTCTAAAAGGTCAACAAGTAAAACTTTGGCAATAAAATTAAAGAATTTACAAATACATCATCTGACCATCGTGATTTCGAAATTGACAGAGATTACTCTAGAATGAACTTTTTTTTTAATCTCGCCCGGGTAGTCTTCTGGAACAGTTCTTTGGAAAGTGAGTTCAGATAATCTTGAAAGAGACTTTTGTACTTGTTTTGAATGAGTGCGTATTTTATCGTCTTTATGGATCAACTAATTTGGAACATTTTATCAAATTTGAATTTATATTTAAGACGTTTTATTTGGATGCTGATGATCCTCACAGTTATATGTGCACAAATTGGTATAATAACAATTTTGTTATGCTCTTTATACCTAATGATCAGTAAACCGTCTTAAAGGAATTAAATTAAAAAGAATGGTAATGATTGACCACATGCAGGAAATTAGTAGCATAAACACAAAATTTTATACAAAGAAGAAAAATTCTGAAAGTTGTCAGTTTCACATGATGTATCTGCTTTCGGGCTAAGTACTACAATTATTTTAATGTCACTGTCAAAGATTGAAAGGGGGATGAAAATTGCTGTTTTTATGAACAAAAATGATGACATCTTTTTCGCATAAAATAAAAAATTAACAGGAATGATTTTATCACCTCGGCAGACATATGTTATGTTGTTTCATCCACTGCAACCATGTTCTTAGTTACAATCTGCAATTCTGTAATTTATAAACCAAGAAGCTCTACATTAACATTTCCTAGTCCATATTAACAATGATTATTAAACTGTTTGTTTTAATTCGGCTAAGAGTACCATTTTAATAAGAACATAAACATGTAATAAACAATCTTTTGTTGTTTGATAATGATATGTTTTGTGTGTTTGAATTTGAATGAATAATAGTTTTCTGCTTAATGTTTTCTGTGAAAGTTCATCTTAACACCATCTGCATTTATTAACATATTGCTGTTAGACGTTAGTGTTAGTCTTGTTTTATTTTTTATTCGAATGTTTTATAAATAACACTAGATATTTACTCAAAAGGATTTTTCTACATGCTCTTTTTTTTATAAAATGTCGTTTCTCTCTTTTTGCAGTAAAAGCAATATGTCGTCCGACATTTGTCTCAAGACTGATTGTGAGTCGAGCTGCTTTAATTTTAATATAATATTTCGAGATAATTATTAATACACTTGCTAATATATTTTATAATAATTTAATTGATAACAAGGAAGAAATTTATAAAAAATATTTATCTATATCTCTTGACCTGTACTGTTAAAAACTAAAATGAGATAAAAATGCGAGACTTATTTCAGCGAATAATTTCACAATGTGCTGGAATAAAAAATTAGTCGATATTAGATATCAAAATTATAACTCAAATTATGTGTGGAATAAATAATAACATAACTATTGAAGTAAATCCTGTGGCTTCTTAACATTTTTATTACCAATCGCTCGCCGATTTTTATCGTAAGTCTCCCTAAGAATTCCACTTTTTTGATAAATTTAGCCGCACAGAAATGCTTTTTGCTTTCTCAAGGTCTAATAAAAAACTTTAAACATTATTTCGAAAAACTAAAATTTTTAAGAACCAAAATTCTGGCGTTATTATTTCGGCTCAGTTTCGGTTAGTTTTGACTACTTTGAATTCCAGACGATTGTATTAGTTAAAAACACTATATGCAATCATATTTATTTCTGCTAAATGAAACCACAAACATATTTTCATCATGTTATTATTTATTCAATATTATTATAAGGACTTCAACTTATCTATACTTACAAGGAAATTTCAAAATCGACAGAATGACGAAATTGTCTTTATCTATTTTTTCAAAGTCGATTCTGGAATTTCAAATACTTGGCAAACACCTAAAATAAGTATTTGGTATTATCATGCACATACTACATTTATCGATGTCTTTTGCGATAATGTTCCGTTCAAAAACAATGTTGTAGTGTTTTAGAAACCAACTTTTGTAATCTAGGTTAAAATTTTATAACAAATATTGTATTCTATGTGACCAGCGATAAATTGATATGATGGAATGAAAAATGATAGTAAACTTCAAACAAAAAAATTTTTTTTTGGTTATATTAGTATTATAGTAGAGCTGCATAAATTGCTCAGTATGGGTTACCTCGGGATTATTCAGTTTTTTCAGTCAACTTCTTTTTAGACGTATTTCTATTAATCGTTAATGTCACTTTCCTTAGAAATTATAATTGAAGTTTTACGAATGTTTTCGGGTTTGAACAAAAATGAAGGGACTATCCGGCTGATATTTTGAATATTTTATAGTGATGAAACCTTTATTAATTGGCATTTCAAAATTTGGAATTCATACGATATACGCATTATTTTCTATCCATAAAGGATCTGACAATTTTTTCTCTTTTGGTTGTCGGTAAATTAACTCACTGATGCCTTTTTTTTCAATTGTAAAATAATATCCTAACTTAAATATCATCCAAATTCAGTTGTCTCAATACAACAAAGTAATCTTTTGATTTGACTCGTTGTCAATATGGAATCGATCAAATTTGATATGAAGGTTTGACTTCAGTTTGTCTATAATATTTTGAGGTTTCTAGATAATGGACGTTTATAGATAATTGTTCTTACTGATATTTTTAGTTTCGATTTCTATTATATTTTTTTACTGGTCATATAGAATACACAAAACTTATTTAAGACAACATATAGTCCGTTTGATGCAATGTAAGAAAACGTATTATAATGGTAATAATCCATCTAAGAAGTAATCGTGATGTCAGACCAAAAAGTTGACAAAAGGTCAAGGTCATGTTGTCCATCAATGACAAATGTTGATTACTGAGAAAAATGTGTGGTTTTACTTGTGGACTATGTGTATCAATGCAACTTTTACAATTTTATACATCACTTGCAAATTATTTATATATATATATATGGGATTGATTGCATCGTTTGTTGGTCTTGAGATATAAATTTTGAATTTGTATCTGCACAATAAATGGAGATATTTTTTTCCAGGATCTGTAGAACTATTGTTTCATCGTTTCTCATATCATGAAATGTCTAGATTTTAGACAGCATTTTTGACTTCATATCTCCAGTTTGGGCCGGCGGTGGCGATATCGGTTAGAGCGTGGACTAGCAGCCACTAGTTCCAGGCTCGCTGGATCGATTCCCGCTACCGCCGTAGCCCGACATCAGGCAGCTTGATGTCAAATTTCCACTGAGATTATAGATCATAATATAATTCCAAGTGGAAATCGTCCTTCGTGGACATAGCTGCAAATCAATCATATGCAACTATTAGACGTAAGAGCTAATATCAAAAATATCCCACACATAAGAGAATGGTTAATCGATGGATTGCCTCTCATGAAAAAAAGTAGTATTAAGTCGTAACCAACAGCTTATAGAACATATAGGAGTTTCTGATTGCTGTTCAAACAATAATAAAAAAAAAAAAAAAAAAATATCTCCAGTTTACTTTGATATCGTTGAAGACGGATCAACAACTTTATGAAATTAGTAAGTTTTGAAACTAAATGATATTGGAATTGAATTTTTTATCAGTTCGAATTTTAACAATATTTCCACATGATGTAATCAATCCTCGAACCGATTAGCCCAATAAGGATGCTAACAAAAATTAACACCAAGGGTTGAACAGTTTCTAATAGAACCACACCACAACCATATCTTTATTATGTCATGTTATATCATTAGATTATGTCTTAAGGCTGGGCAAGTGTTTTCGTTGATGATAATAATTTCTGAGATGTTAAATTTCAATATACATCCATCAGGTGATTGAGAATTATACAAAATTGTACTGTGTTTATTCCATAACTATTTTGATGATATGCTTTTTTTGTTTTTAGTAACTATCATTTGATAACCAAAAAGCAACTAATCCATTTCTCCAATTGTCTCACGTTTCGATTGTTCTGATATTTTACATATATCAGGTGGTTGTTGACTTTTTAATTGATATTCATCATGCAATTGAATAAAGTTCAATTTGTTTTACCATAATTGGTTTAAATTCAAGCAAAATCTTTTTACATAACTATATCTCGGTCTGATGTCTAAAATTTGGAAATAAATATTGGTGGAAAATTAAAATTGGGCTAATGGTTTCAAAGGAGTAAGGCCATTCACATCAGCCTCATTGGTTAAATAAGATTTTTGAGATTATTTGTGAATTTAATCCAAAACAATATTAACAAATTTTTAGAGTTTGAACAAGTGATCCCCTACTCCTTTGATTGGTCAATAACTCCTATAATAAGTAAGTCTAGATTTTAAAAAGCATCTTGCTGTGCACCACTTCAAGACTAAATTATTCACCAAACTATTGTCAATTCTATCTTAAATAAGTTCAATCGGCCAAACTAATAAATAAACAATCAAGATGTACACCAATTTATTATATATAAATACACCGTAAACTATTTGGATGTGTTCCAATAAAAAAATCGTTAGGTAAGTGTTTATTTAAAAAAATAAATATGGCACCAAAATGTTGTATTTGCTTTATATGAGCAACATTTTTATATGTGTATTTCTGGGACTGTGAAAAAACTGTGGTGAAAAATTGAAAAAGATTTATTACAGGTTTGTGAAAAGCGATTATAAGTTGCAGAAATATTTGTGCATTAATAAATGGTACTTTTTTATAAATATCATGCTTATATTCGCTTTTGAACTGTTAAATAAAATCGATTTAGACGAAGTACAGTGATGAAAACAAGAAACGTTTATATAATAAATATTGTAATGGATTTTTTATTGATTCAAAAATTAATATTAAGATATAAATATATTATTGTGGTCATTGTGGATTATTGTTCATTATATGATTTGTACTTTCTTGTATAAAATATATATATATATATATATATATATATATATATACATATACATATGAGGATGTGCAATATAGATATATTTATATGTTGTTTCGTTAATCCCTCAAAGATGATATAATTGTTTATAATTTGTTTATATTATATTATTGTATAGATATTTATCAATAAAATGTGTATCTATTCAATGATTTTAAAATTAGATATTATGCTATTGCAAATTTCTGCTAAATATGAATGAAATGATGAATTCAGCGAAAGCGATCTATCAGCAAGTTCTATCAGTCTATAAAAAAATTGTATACTATATACTGTCTCAATTAGTTTTAAAATAACTAACTGAATGTCTGCTAAGTTTTAAGCAAGTTTTTGCTTATCGTTAGTTTCGATAAATTCGACTTGTCTGCCAAATGTATCCATCATTTTCTTAAATTTTGTTCCTGAAAGTTCAGATTTGAAATAAATAGCTGTAATCTATCTTATTTATAATGGATCTAATTATAAATTTATAATAATCTTTTAACTTTTATTTCTCTATGTTAAAATGATATTGATTGAAATCGCATTGTAATGGATATAGCACTGGAGTAGTTTTTTCTGAACTATCTATGAAATTGTATGTGGTGATGGGAAACAAAAGTGGTTTGTTATATATTTAATATTATGTTTGTGATGATTAAATAGGAGATTCAGACGAATTGTGCCGAATACTGTGCTATTTGTGAGAAGAAAGTGTATCCCCTGGAGAAAATTGATTGCAACAGCAAAATCTATCACAAGCAATGCTTCAGATGCGTCCACTGCAACGCCGTATTGAGGTAAGTGAATTATATTTAATATTAAAACATAATTAATACATTTTTTGAATTATTAAAACACAATTTAGAACAATAATAAAGTAATGAAAAAGATACATTTTGTCCGAGCATTAGTTTTATCAAATGAGGCAAAATTTCCACAAACTTTTTTTCCCTATTTATTGGTACTACTGTTTTTTAAATTGACTGATAAAAATTATAATTGATATGGAAAAAGTTCAAAAGCTGCTTAATACATTACAAACATAAAGTTCTATCAATTATAATTTACTAGGTGTGTAATTATATAGGAAAAAATCATAATATGTTTATATGTTAGTGATGTGTTAGTGATATGTTAGTAATGTGACTCTAAAATTTTCAAATTTGAATGAAAAAATTCTGATTTGAATCAACCTTAAATAAGGGCAAATATAAGCTTACAGATCTTATCGCAACTAAATTTGTTGTTATAACTTCACTATATTCAAAAGCGACCAAGAGCTACTCAACCTTTTGAATAACGTTTTTCCTGTAAGGCTAAAAAAATTTGTACTAATGACTCTTAGTATTGCTGTCACTTCACTCAATAAGTCTGTAAGATAACTAAGAGAAATCCTTTTTTTGACAATTTTTATTCAACATAGTTTTCTTCGAAGACGATATACCGTTTATGTCGAACTTCGAACTTTTCGAAACCATTTTTGTAGTTCGATTTGTACTTTGCAAAAAATACGGCTATCATCTCATCATTTGGCAAAAAAAAAATTCAGAGCGAGCATTCTTTTCAGATACGAGTGGGGAAAAGTGGGTAAGCAATTCGGAGCCCAATTCATGTTTTTTTGCTACTATTTTTACGGATTTGCGACTTTGCCCTGATTAAGCAGCACGGTTTATTTTCAAATGGGGCCGTTTTTCCGATTTCTAACTTCAAATGCTCTAATAACGTTATACATTAGTCACTGTTGATGATCTGATCTTTCTCAAGATAGTTCATGAAGATCATTACTTGCGAATCTCAAAAAACTGACGCCATAACCTTGCCAGCTGATTGTTTGCATTTTTTTTCGTCATCGTTTTTAGTCCACTTGGTTGGCTTTCTATTTGACTCCGGAGTGTAATGGTGAAGGCAGGTCATAACCATGGTAACATATTGATGCAAAAACTCAGTTTTACTTTGATTGAACAGCTCCAAATACTCTTACAAATCATCAACTCGTTATGCTTTTGGTCAAATGTGAGTTTGCGCGGCACCCATTCAAATATTCGTGAACGATATGTTCAACACTTTCTATTGATATCTTTTGAATTTGTATAATCGATTCAGCCTCTTCTGACAAAACTTCGACGAAAGTTAAACTTTGACTCATCACATCATCAAAGCGACTTTTGACACAAATTTCGAACTTTGAATTTTATAATTAAACTATTTGTCGTAGGGTCATAATATTTGTGACTTAATACGTAGAGAAAATAAAATTGGCAGATCGGATATTATATCGAAAACAAATTTCTCATTCAGAGAAATTACATATACTAAATTATTATAAAATTTTATTGACTTATATAAATATAAATATAAATATATATATATATATATATATATATATATAAATATAATACACTGTTATTAACAATTACATCAAAGTTATGTAAACTGGAATCTAGAAAATTACTTGTCATTGAAATGCATCCTTGAAATTGAAATGGAATAAATAGTATAGCTCAAAGAAATATTTATCAAGAGGGAATTTTAGTCTAAAAGTTTTAAGAAATCAATGACTTTTTGCCTCTTTTCACATTCTGAGCCCGGCGAAGATTGGTGAGGATATGTGATTTGTTCCCTTTGGGCTCATGCGTTATGTGTCGATGACCCACTATGATAAAACTAAAATTTTGGTTCGTTAAATTAATATATGAACTTTAAAATTAAGTATTAATATATAATAAAAGCTTTTTTATCTTTTTGTCTAATAAACCAATACAAAATTTCGTTTTTCAAAAACTTTCAGTAATCTTTTCATTTGAATATTAAATCGGATGACAAGCGACCGGCTTCATACGATTTGATTTAAATCTAGTAAAATCCGATTCCAATGAGATTGTTAAGTGCTGGATTTTATGAATTCATTTCATTGTCATTCGAATTGGCACATCAATAAAATATTAACAAATTTGCTAAATGTTCATAGCTGGACTGTTGTAAGAAAAGTAGTGAATAAAAAACAAATAAATTCATCAATAACAATATTTTGTTATATGTAACAAACATTAGTTGCAAATGAAACGTGACTTTTCTGTTAAGTAGAAATTCCCAAAAGAATTGTTAATGGCCTTTGGCTGGGCCGTATTTTTAGCGTAACACTATGGATACCAGACCAACCTATCATAACTTGTATAAAAATTAATAGTACACTATCGCAAATAGTAATTATTATATTTCTTCAGAATGGACACTTACACCCACAATCATGGAGTTCTGTATTGCATCCCTCATTTCAAGCAACTCTTTATCTCCAAAGGCAATTACGAATCCGGATTTGGTTTGGATCCACACAAGACCAAATGGGAGAAGCAAGAAGTCACTGCCAATGAATAGGAAACACATCTGGAATTATAAAAAAAAAATTAAACGACTAAATAATCGTTTTACAAATATCAGGTTAGAACTCCGAAGACGGTAACAAAAATAATGAGCAGAAATTATGATTTCAAAAGAGTTTTGCATATGATGGGATAAATTATCGAAAAACATTTATTGTTCAATGGTAAGCATAACATACAGGTCTTAGTGTCTTTGTTTAAAATTTTACTATTTTAGTCGAAGGAGTGCTTGATTTTATAAACATAACACGATAAGTTTTACTTTGACTTTTAATATTGTTTTAATGTGTACATATTTTAAATTTTATTTTTCTGTATCGATCATTGATTAAATCAAAATAAATTTTAGATATTATTGTTAATATATTTTTGACACATATTTAATTTTTTAAGGAGCGCCATTATTATTAACAATCCAATGACAGACGTTTTTTAGATTTGTGAAGAAATTTCGTAAAATTAATTTTATATTGATCGACATAGAATTTTTGCTGTTTTATCAAATTTATAGTTATACTTTTAATAACTAGCAACTTGTATGTTAAGTTAAAGTTTTTTTTTATGTTGCATCTTAATTTTTTTTTTAAATAGAATAGTTTTTTGTTATAGTGTACCTTCTGTATAATGATTTTATATAATTGGTACAGTTTGTTTTATATTGTCTTAGCATACATGTCTACTAGAAAAAAGAAAGAAATAATAAAATTTCTTTACCTTATATTTTATTTTTTAAAACAACTCGATGAAACACCTTAATGAAATGCTTATTTTTAATTGAATATGACAAATATATAATGATTTATGTTTCCATTTTCTATCAAATCTGATAAATATTTTTAATTGATTACTCCAAAATATAAAAACTAAGCAACTTATCATAATCAAATACGACTTACTAAAAGTAGATTAGTAATAAATATTATATGAGGCTACTTACTGAGGTAATAAATACTTAATTACACAGTCTAGCTTGCAAAGCTATATTTTCAAACATCACAATTATTTTCAATCTTTATTCTATTATATGCAAAAATTTCAAAATGTCATAATTGTTATCAATTTTACTCCTAACGCATAATTTTTAATATGTTGATTGTAACAAAATTATTGTACAAATGCCAAAATTTTAAGATTTTTTTAAATGAAGATGCCAAAATTATAATCACGCCTATTAAAATTCATATCCGAGAACAATTGATTCAAATGATTAATATTCTAATCGATAATTAATATTGAGATTGTATGATATTTTATAATAATAATTAGTTGTTAGGTGCTTTCATTGTGTGTAGTCGTTTTCCTAAAAGTACTATTTTATGTTTAATATAATTTTAATTAATTTTTATTTTACATATATTTTATCTTGCCTGGTAATTATTATATTAATATGCAACTGTACTGTTTGGATACTTAAATAATTTTAAATTAAAATTTTAATGATTGTTTGGACTTTGAAAGATATTTTATGATGTGATAAAAAAATTTAAATAATTTCTGATTTGCTTAAACAAGAAAGGCATTCCTTATTACGAATATTTCTTAAAAATACTACAGTATTATGTACTGATATATATATATATATATATATATATATATATATATATATATACATTAATTTTAAAAAATTATGCTGTACTATATATACATATATATATTTATAGGGTCGTAAGATATTTTTAAGTATTTTCAAAAAAAATTTGATATGATTAAGACTTTTACCATAAAGACTTGTACCACAGTATTTATACTAATTTTGATATATATATACACAAACAAATATATTATACATAAAATGAGCTATTTTTTTTAATTTATATTATATAATTTATATTATATAATTTATATTTAATTTTATGTGTAATCATTTTTTCAGATGGTTAAAGGTATATTGTTGATAACAAAACGCTTTTCAAACAGTCACCTAGATAATAAAAAGAAAAATAATTATGTTTCTAAATAATTATGTTTCTTTCCATGTATAAGATTGTTTATGATAATACCCTAATGAAAGTTGTAATGGACTAGCGGGTTAAAAGGATCTGGTTGAAAATGTCAGGGTAGCATGATCAAGACATGAATGAACCTTTTTTCTTTAAGTTTCATTCATGTCTCGATCGTGCTACCCTGACATTTTCAACAAGATTCTTTTAACTCGCTAGTCCATTACATCTTTCATTATACACGATGAAATACTAGTCATTCTGCCAGTTATTATTAAACATAACGAGACGGCGCCAAACATAAATGCATTCCGCATTGATGCATACCGCACGCTTCGAAATGCCCAAATTTTTTTTTACCAAAAATTTTTTTGCCCAAAATTTTTTTCACAAATCCATGGGAGGAGTGTTTCATTTCACACCATTTTCAGTGATATATATTAGAAACACACCGTACTGGTACAAGTATTATAAACATAAGCATATTTGCTGATGTTTATATAAACATTAATATACTCATTCTTCGACTCAGACTTCGACGAGGTTGATCAATAAAGTTAATGTAGTTATGACTTTGACCATTTTAAATCTATGGTTTTTCACTCATTTCAAACATGTCAAAAATATTAATATCTTTCACTCGCTTTAATCTATACTATTATTCAAAGTGTTAATTAGTTCATTTTAATTAGAATACTTTAAATATTGGTCAGTTTTACTTAACTTTGGACTTGTACAATAAAAATGAAGTTTTCAACTATGTTCTTTTTGCATAAGGACATCCGCATTATTATTAATATATCTTTAATATTTTACGTTTATTGACGTAATTATTACATCAATTATAATTAACATTCCTACCACCTCCACGCTCCTATCGCTTTCCTTTACACTACCTTACCTAATGCTTATATCTATGTTAACAACTGATACGCTTACCTCGCTTACCTTACTACGTCTCGAACCTGCTACCCTGTTCCATCGACTCCCACCTCCTAACGGGCGACGCCACGCCGATCACATTAGTAAACCGTTACAAAGTAGGTGATATTGTATATTTTAAACGAAGATAAACTAACACGTCATATGGCCAAAAAAAACTTGGGTTGGTATGGCTTGTGTTGGCGTATTTGGTAGAGTGATGGCTTCGTACCAAAAGGCTACCGAGTTCGAATCATACCTCCAGCCATAGAACGGAATTCACCAGTACGACTAACGTTGTGGTATTCATTTATTGTTGAATAACACAAAGTTAATATTTAGATATAACAAACTATTAAGTCATGAGGCAGAAAAAAGCAGAGTCCATGTGGCCTGTGCTGACGTAATTGGTAGAGTGATGGCTTCGTAACAAAAGGGTACCGAGTTCGAATCATACCTCCAGCCATAAAATGGAATTCAGCAGTACGACTAACGTTGTGGTATTCGTTTATTATTGAATAACACAAAGTTAATATTTAGATATAACAAACTAACAAGTCACGAGGCCGAAAAAAGCAGAGTCCATGTGGCCTGTGCTGGCGTAATTGGTAGAGTGACAGCTTCGTACCAAAAGGGTACCGAGTTCGAATCATACCTCCAGCCATAAAACGGAATTCAGCAGTACGACTAACGTTGTGGTATTCGTTTATTGTTAAATAACACAAAGTTAATATTTAGATATAACAAACTAACAAGTCATGAGGCCGAAAAAAGCAGAGTCCATGTGGCCTGTGCTGGCGTAATTGGTAGAGTGATGGCTTCGTAACAAAAGGGTACCGAGTTCGAATCATACCTCCAGCCATAAAACGGAATTCAGCAGTACGACTAACGTTGTGGTATTCGTTTATTGTTGAATAACACAAAGTTAATATTTAGATATAACAAACTAACAAGTCATGAGGCGGAAAAAAAGCAGAATCCATGTGGCCTGTGCTGGCGTAAATGGTAGAGTGATGGCTTCGTACCAAAAGGGTACCGAGTTCGATTCATGCCTCCGGACACAAAACGCAAAACAGTGGATCGAGGAACGGAATCACATCCGTTCGAATTTGGGACCCTAGGTATGCTCCTAGGGTTCCCGCAGCGGGTTTACAGGAAAGAGGGGAATGTGTGGAGTTTGCGAACCTGCGCCACCGTCGCTGAAAATGGGAGAAGGGAAACCATATGGGTGAGGGTTTCACGCGACGACCACTCCTGGGTCGACCCCGGTTGAAAAACGGGAAGATTCAGTGTGCGAGTCCCCCGGCGCACCCTGAATGCGCCGATGGAAGGAGAGTGGGTGATGGTGTGAGAGGGAGAGAGCGAAGTAGAAGTATGAAGAATCGTTACTTATTACAATTATTTTGCGATTTTCGTTGCCTAGCGACCGTTGCTATGCAACCGTTAACCCCTAACACAAAATTTTTAATAAAATTATTTTGCAATTTTGGTTGCCTAGCGACCGTTGCTATGTAACCTCTAACACAAAATTTTCAGTATTATTTTGCGATTTTCGTTGCCTAGCGACCGTTGCTATGCAACCGTTAACCCCTAACACAAAATTTTCAGTATTATTTTGCGATTTTGGTTGCCTAGCGACCGTTGCTATGTAACCTCTAACACAAAATTTTCAGTATTATTTTGCGATTTTCGTTGCCTAGCGACCGTTGCTATGCAACCGTTAACCCCTAACACAAAATTTTCAGTATTATTTTGCGATTTTCGTTGCCTAGCGACCGTTGCTATGCAACCGTTAACCCCTAACACAAAATTTTCAGTATTATTTTGCGATTTTCGTTGCCTAGCGACCGTTACTCTGTAACCTCTAACCTCAAATACAAATTTTCAGTAAAATATTTTGCGATTTTCGTTGCCTAGCGACCGTTGCTATGCAACCGTTAACCCCTAACACAAAATTTTCAATAAAATTATTTTGCGATTTTCGTTGCCTAGCGACCGTTGCTATGCAACCGTTGACCCCTAACACAAAATTTTCAATAAAATTATTTTGCGATTTTGGTTGCCTAGCGACCGTTGCTATGTAACCTCTAACACAAAATTTTCAGTATTATTTTGCGATTTTCGTTGCCTAGCGACCGTTGCTATGCAACCGTTAACCCCTAACACAAAATTTTCAGTATTATTTTGCGATTTTCGTTGCCTAGCGACCGTTGCTATGCAACCGTTAACCCCTAACACAAAATTTTCAGTATTATTTTGCGATTTTCGTTGCCTAGCGACCGTTACTCTGTAACCTCTAACCTCAAATACAAAATTTTCAGTAAAATTATTTTGCGATTTTCGTTGCCTAGCGACCGTTGCTATGC